AGACACCTTATCATGAGATTCACATCACCATCGAGGCACTTGTTTCACGGCAGCCACTAAAAGTTCACATGCGCAGACATTTAATACACAAAACCGCTCCATTTTAAAATATTATCAAAATCTACTTCAAACCATTACTTAAGGCGACACCGCGAAAAAATGCACCTTCTTTCATCGAATAGTATAGGAGTATGACACCACTAACGAAACTGGAATTTTGATACAGGTAAATTCATGTCTTCATCTTGAATTTGCTTGTTCAAAAACACGATTGTAAAATTTTGACTCGATCATAATTATTTGCGAAAACACCTTCAAAAAATCACTATAGTTGAAATTACAACGAAATTAATTAATCTATATGCTTGGGAATCACTCAAATACATTCATAACATCAATATTCGTAATTTACTTGCTCATTATTTTGATTACTATTTATTATAATTTTTAAGTTCCCCCCCCCCCCCCCCTCTTATTGTAAATATTAACTTTTATCCCTTAAATTTATTATTTTTTACTAAATATCGTTTGTTCGGTCGCTATTGGTGATTGTTCGATCATAAATACAATTTAATTGTTAACAATTGACCATAAAAGCGAGCGAAGCGAGCCCGGGACTAGGGACATCTCGACTCGGACAGATCAGTTAGAAGGGTATGGCAGGGTAGAGTGAGAGAGCAAAGCGAGCGAATAGAGCCCGCTATCCCCTTCGTGGTTACTTTTTTTTATAAACCACGTAGTAATAGGAGCGGGGCTCCGTCGATTGCTTAGAAATATTGAATAATTGACAATTAAGTTGTATTTATGATCTAATAATCGTCAATAGCGATCGAACAAACGGTATTTAGTAAAATTTAACTAATTCAAGAGATAAAAGTTAACATTTACAATAAGGGGGGACAACTTAAGGATGAAATTTGTTTTATTAATTATAAATAATTAAAAGACGAACAAACAATTTTTATGTCCGAACAATAACGAACAAACGTTAAACAATTAATAAAAAATAAAAAGAACAATAAATCCAAGTGCAGCTAGTTTTTACGTGGTAGAGCCATGTATGAGAGCGATGAATTGGTCGGCTCGACCAGGGAAGGACCACGCTCTCACAGAATACCAACGGGAAATAGCAGCTTAACGCTGCTGTGTTTCGTATGGTGAGTGTAGAGAACCGGAGACCCTTTTTACTGGAAACGAGGCATTACATCTTAGTCCTCACGGGTGACAACGCATCTGCATTTTGATTCGTAATCGAGACTAGATGTAGATGTCTATGGGCCGCAGCAACCACTTACCATCAGGTGGACTGTGTGATCATTTATCACCCTTATCCTATAAAAAAAGTCTCATCCAGATAAATATAGCTGGTAGAAATCTTCCTTCAGAACGAACTAATATGCGTCTATGTGTAATTAGGTTTGATATGAGATTTTTCATTCTCTCAGGAATGTTCAGCTGATGTATTTTTCACCTGAGCAGTGGGAGAACAACATCATCACATGCCGCACAAAGATCAATGAAAACGCCAACCAGAAAATTGTTATTGGAGAAGGCAAGTCTTATATCGGATACGAAGATGCTAAGGCTATCCATTGTGCTTAAACCTTTTCTAAAACCAAATTGGCCCTTTGATATAATGCCTCTATTTTCAAGAATCCACTGAAGTCAATTTTTTACGAGATGCTTCATAATTTTAGACAAGGTTGATGAAATAGCAATAGGGCGATAATTTAATGCTGAAGAATGGTCTTTACTAGGTTTTAGAATGGGTATAGGTAATAATAATATGTGTTTTCCAGTCATCTGAAATAGAACAGGTTCTAAAGTTAATGATGCTTAAAAACAACTGCTTACACGTAGTACCCATATTAACAAGAAATGAGTAGAGGATACCATCAATGCCAGGAGTGGAATCCTTTAGGTGCTTAAGCGCTAACTGCAATTCAGCGTAATTGAGTTAGATGAGTGAGGAGTGAATGATTTAGGAGTAGGAAATATGTCTTCTTTTAGTGGAACGCAGGGGGGAAACAGTCTATTACTGAAGTCGTCTAGCCAATGGGAGGGGTCTGCACAAGAGGGATTGCAATCATTTAAAGCACAAGCGCCTGATACTTTTCCAAACAAGAGTAGAAGGAGATCGGGGAGATAGGCTCTCACAGAATGAAAGCCATCCTTTTCTTCTTTTCAGAAAGAAGTTTTATGGACTGACCAGCTACTTTTTGATAATTTAGATAATTTCCAAATACATATTAGATTAATATAGCCGCTATGCTGCCTTTCGTTTTGTAATAATTAAGAAGCAATCTACATATCACCTTGGAGGTGAAGAAATTCTTTTTGTGGAGGAATTCTTCAAAGGGAAAATTTTCCAGGCTATATTATTCCGAAAGGTTATAAACTGGGAGTAAACACTCTGAAGATTTAAAGAGAACTTTTAAAATTAAAACCTATCTCGTCAGGTGTCATTCATGATCATGAGTATTCACATTCAACATATCATTTTGTCAGTTGTCGTATCTCTTATTTACTAATGTAGAACGAGAGAGACGAACTGAGCAAAAAGCGAGAAATGATAACTCGTATTAGATTATCTGTATTATACTTTCTTCGCTTTGTTGATCCGAAAATGTATGTTGATCCGGCGCCTTTTGTTGATCCAATATGCATCTCTAGTAACTAATGTAAACATCTACACTCACGGGACTGCTTACTATCGTTCGCCAAAGTTGATCCGATATATAAATCCATCTTGCGATTGTTACGCAAAATGTTGATCCGATTTAAATGAGCAATCAAAGCACAGCAAACGATCGGATTGGCTGATAAAAGCTGCGACGTTGTCGTTTCGTATCTTTGGCGGTACAAGCTACAGATTTATTTATTTGTTTTTATTTTATTTATTATATGGACAACAAAACAGATAACAATCACAATATATTACAATATAATATAAATATAACAGTTTTGTGCCAGATTGTTATCCTAAATATGTTGACACATCATTTTTATATGAAATACAGGAGATCAACTCTACGCTTTGCAATGTTTATGACACATAATTACAGTAAACAAAAAATAAAAATATACAAATAAGAAACTTAAAACCTATATGATATGGGAATGAGTGTGCATAAGTGTATCTATACTGTTTCACTGCTCTTTTGAATATCCTGGATCTTGGGTCAAAAACATCCATGCCGGAGCTTTTCATGGATATCTCGTTGTAAAATCGACACATTCTTACTATCGGGTTATAAAAGGAAGTATTATTCTTATAAGTCTGCAGGTAAAATGTCTTAATTTACTTAAGAGGTAATCGGAATCAATTCGGAACAAAATAAACAGATTAAACGGATAACTCAACAACTCGACAACGCCACGACTTGTAGCGGAAGTGGTGGCAGCGACGATATTGTGTAAGGTGGAACTTGAAAAACAAAAACACTGCTTCCCTACATCAAAATAATAATCACAAACAAAACGAAAAATATCAATCAAAGACACTTATTAATCAATAACATTGCAACCTGACTTACTTATTAGATCGCTAGTCACTAGAATTAAGGACGCGTTTGCAAAATTTATAGGTATAGAATCGAACTATTACATTGACACGTTTCTCACACGTGACACGTGTACACACGGTTAATTACGAGAATCGTAATGAAGTAAAATTTTATACGTGGTAGAGCCATGCTGCAGCTATATTAGTAGTATAGTTGTAGCACGAATGGGTCGGCTCGACCGGGGAAGAAACACGCTCTCACAGAATACCAGCGTAAAATAACAGCTTAACGCTGCTGCGTTTCGTATGGTGAGTGTAGAGAACTAGAGACCCCTTTTACTGGAAATGAGGAATTCCATCTTAGTCCTCACGGGTGAAAACGCATCTACATTTTGATTTGTAATCGAGGATAGATGTAGATGTCTATGTGCCACAGCAACCACTTACCATCAGGTGGACTGTGTGCTTGTTTGTCTCTTATCCTATAAAAAAAACATTTTGACAATTTGTAAGATCGATTATTTTTCTCATTTCTTTTACCTACAAAAATATACTTAGACGAAATACGAATAGCTACTCCAGAGAGCACTAGAAGCCCTCTACTAGCAGTTAGATGTTGGCTGTGGACTTTGGGTTGGTTTTGTTAGTTATGATAAGACCTTACCTCCGGACTCGGTGGAGTGACTTGAAGGTATACTTCGGTGACTGCTACTGGAACTCTCCGTCGAGTAGTACTAGGTGTGCCGAGTTTGGCTTGTTATGTTAGTAATGATGAGACCTTACTTCCAGACATGGCGAAGTGACTTGAACGTATACTTCGGTGACTGCTACTGGATCTCCTGGACGAGTAGAACTAGGTGTGCCGAGTTTGGACTCGTTTTGTTAGTTATGATGAGACCTAACCTCCGGGCTTGATGGAGAGACATGATGTTGTACTTCGGTGAGTACTACTGCAACTCCTGACCGAGTAGAAATAGGTGTGCCAAGATTGGGCTCGTTTTGTTAGTGACACGACCTGAACCATGTACACAGATAATCTATGACTATGTACAACCAGGATCGCTTAGGACTTCTAATGTTCGACTAAGTATAGCAGAGATATTAATTAAAACGAACGTTGAGGGGACGAACTATTTACTTTAGTTAACATGATAATGAGCATTACAATTTTTATTTGCCCTAAAAGCAAGGCTACCCTCCGGAAGCGGGGGAGGGATGTGATGAATGTTCATAGCATACCACACAGTCGGCTGTGTGGTTATGTGGGGCTCACTATGAAGTGCTTACCCACTAAAAACCACCTGTGAGGACTGGCTTATATAAAAGGCCATATAGGCCATATGGCCTCTTTACCGCAATGAAAGCGACCCCTCTTAGGGATAGGGGGCGCGGGTCACAACTGTACGGGGACGGGAGCGCGGGTCAACAAACACAGCTGCACGGGGGCGGCGGTGCTAGAGTAGTGAAGATGTGGGAGATGTGGGAATGCGCTTACCGTCCGGGTACGGCGACCACGGTCTGCTAACACATCCGCACGAAGGCTGCGGCGCTAACGGAGGCGGGACGGCACTCACCGTACGGGGACGGTGAGGGCGAGTACCTAACACAACCGCACGGGGGCGGCGGCGCGGGATTGACGTTTTATTCCTCGACTGAACTGACTGAGGAATTCCCGTACGGGGGCGGGTGCTCGGTCAGCTAGCGGACTCCGCTAGCGCACGACCGCACGGGGGCTATGGCACAAGCGGAATGCATTGCAAATTTTGTTTTTGCGCCCAGATGCAATTGAAAGGGCTACCCTCTGGAAAGCGAGGAAGGGAGGTGGTGAATGCTCTCTCTAAGCATACCACGACAGCCGGCTGTCGTGGTTATGTGGGACTCACTGCGACTAACCTTGCGTTACCTTTACCATCTTAAAAATTTCCTACCTTTCAAAACCAAGCTTACGCTTGTACATTCCCTCATTCTACCCATTATAGATTATGCAGATGTATGTTACCCAGATTTGTCACAAAATCTTCTAAACAAGTTGGAGCGCCTTCTTAATAATTCCATAAGGTTTATTTTCGGTTTACGTAAGTATGACCACATATCTTCCTATCGTTCAAAGCTTAAATGGCTACTTATACGTCAAAGGCGATGCTCTAGAATATTACTTGTACTTTATTCAATTTTAAACGATCCAAGGTTGCCTTCTTATATTAAGGATAACTTTCATTTTCATCATTCGATTGACGGTCGAATACCACGACAATGAAACCGTCTGAGGGTAAGGTTTACACAGCATAGGTCTAATTTTTTCAGGTCCTCGTTTACGATACAAGCTATACATCTTTGGAACACCCTCCCCGATGATATTAAGAATGCTACAAATAGAAACTCATTTAAATTACTTCTACGACAACATTACCTGAGGGCTTTTACTAACTGACATTTTTTCTTCTTCAGATATTTTATTTATATATTAATACGGATATTTATAAAGTTTATAAGCATGTATACACATTACATATATGTATGTATGTATTATTGTATGTAAATATATGTTATATATATATTTAAATATATGTTGTGTATGTATGTACTATGTATATATTATATTTTATTTTAATATAAATACATTTTATTTATGTATTATGTTTCGCACCTGCCTACAATTGTCTTTGGCACCCAGGGTTGACTGGCAGAGAATGCCATATGGCATTAAGTCCACCCTATGTAACCTTTACCTTAAGGTGTTACGTTCCCCCCCGAACGGGTTCCCGCCTTGTCGTGGCGGGGGGGCTTAGTAGCCGTGGCTTGGTCAACCACGGTGAACGAAGAGGAACCCCTTGGCTGGCCCGAGGTGTAGGGCCGGCCCGAGGTGGCCACTCCGAGTGGGCTTGGGAAGCCCACTTCGGATGTGTGTCGGGGGGCTGTGGTGAGAGGGGAGTCCGCAACCCTCTACCGCTGCAGCCGAGGTGGAGTCGCGGAGGAAGAGGAGTGTTGGTATGGCGATGCGCCACTCGCCCTATCCTCCGCGACTCAGACGGGGCCGCACCGTTGAATGATGCGGTGGTGGTGGGGCTGCGGGGGGAGAGGAGTGTCGGTATTGCGAGGCGCCGCTCTCCCTACCCTCCGCAGCCGAATCTTGGTTGGCGGCGGAGCCATAGACCAGATCCGCCGCTGGGGTCGGGAAGGCTGGTGCTTTTTAGTGCTAGTTTTTCCTGGCCCCATGGCCTTCGCGCATCGGACACGGGGGCGTCTGTTGCGCATATGAAATTGGAGGCCGAGGAGGAGGGCGCGCCATGTGTTCTGGTGCGCCTTACCGGAGAAGGAGATGGGGGAGGAGTGGTCCTCTCCCTAGGAGGGGCCGCCATGGGGTGGCCGGCGCAGGTGGGGCCGCGGAAGTGTGCGAAAGCGTTCCCGTGGCCCTGCCAATATGCGACGAGGGTGGAACACCATGGGGTTTTAGTCGGTGCGAGTCCGACATAACCCGTCCTTGCCCCCGCGAGGCGGGTATGCGTAGGCATTTCCCCATGTAAAAAAAAAAAAAGGTGTTACGTTAAAGTTTTTAAATAAATAAATAACCTAACCTAAGTGCCTACCCACTGAACTCCTCCTGTGAGACTGGCATTGGCTTTTGTAGCCTTTCTGCCGAATCGGAAGCGACCCTCTTTAGGGAAAAAAGGGGGCATCATAGCAAATTACATTACATTGCCTTATATACAAAAAATATTACGCTCCCACTATACGCGCCATCTAAATGAAGTAGGGATACAAACATTATGGCTGCCTTACGTAAACAATGGATCGTATGAACGGTGCGCACTCGCTTGTCCTCGTCGCGCGTCGTACAAACAAAAGATGCGTATGCGTCCATCTTGCGAAGGCGGGGTCAAGCACACCGGTGGGCAGTGCATAGCGGTGCATCGCGGCGGTGAGTAATCGTCATAGATCACGCCACTTGGGACGTCACGATGTGAATCGCTTAGACGCGCGAGTTTACTTACCTACTCGCTACATAAGTTATGATGAGACCTTATCTCCGGACTTCATTTTTCCATTATCTCTTTCCAAAATTGTGGATCTTTTTCCATACTCTGGTACTTTATTTTACCAGGGCCTGATCAAATAGCAAACACAAGTATCTTGCCTAGTAATGCGCAGTTGTCCTTGAATTTGGTAATACCATTTACCTATGTTTTTTATTTGTCGTGAATGTGTTATTTGCTGTATACAACTAAAAATTGACTTTTTTAAGTTTGATAGCGTCTTCTGGTTCCATCTTATATGCCGAGGATGGACATTTGACTTCAATAATGCCAAGCTTACATTTTCCATCTGGGGTTGCTCCTAAAAGGGAAATTATTTGTCTATGAATAACCCGCACTGTTCTATACGGGTATCTTCATTACTTCTGCCATGTTTTATCGACGACACATTGCTAAGATATTTTCCATAAAGAATTTGTTTTATCAGTAGACCACATTCAGTTATCGGGTGACATTTCTGGTCACTCCGTCAAGGTAATGTCTCATCATAACTAACAAAACGACCCCAAACTCGGCACACATAGTTCTACTAGTCCAGTAGTTCCAGTAGCAGTCACCGAAGTACACCTTCAGGTCTCTCGATCAAGTCCGGTGGTAAGGTCTCATCATAACTAACAAAACATTGCCATTTAATTTTTAGTGATTCTTCCAAACCCGGTTCCGAGGAGTGTGTGGGAGTTGGCGTTTTCCATCAACAGTTTGGCATTGTACAGAAAATAAAATTGCCTCCAGAGACTTCAGTCTTTATTGGAGAATGTTTTGGTCTGTTGAAGTCTCTGGAGTACATTTTAGTCATGAAGTTAAAAAACTCAATAATTTTTACCGATGCTAAAAGTGCCCTCCAAGCCTTGGAAAGTTTTCCTTTTAGCAGTAACAGAAATAATAATCCAGTTATTATTACATGTCGTGATTTATTGTATCAATGTTGCATCAAAAATTACACAGTTTCTTTTGCTTGGATTCCGGGGCACTCAGGTATCTTTGGTAATACCAAGGCCGATAGCCTTTACAAAGCTGCAGTCAATAACGGAGATCTAGTCCCGTACAAAAACTTTTGTTGTGATTAGGCTCTTCTTCCTAAATCCCAGTTATTGAATTCTTGGACACACATTTGACGTTCTTCAAGTCAGACTATAGGTCAATATTATAGCACGATCCAGGTGGATATACCTCCTAAACCGTGGTTTTCAAATCTGACGTTTAGTAAAGCTATTACTTCGACCCTTATTCGTATGAGGCTGGGCCATGCATGCATTCCCTTGCATTTGGCAAGGCTTAAACTTTTGCCTAGCGATATATGTGAGTGTGGTAATGACGTTGAGGATTTTAATCATATATTCTTTGCTTGTCCTCGACATGACCGTTCCGCTTTTATTTTCTCGCTTTTGTCCATTATAATTCCTTTTCCTACTTCAATTTCTGTCCTTTTATCTTATGTAAATATTGATGTATATAGAATTTTAGCCAGTTTCATTTTTCATAACAATATAAAATTATAACTATTTATGTACTTATATACTAAATTTACCTGATCCTTTTTCAAATTCCGTTCCAATTTCCAATTCAATAAAATAAATCTTACTTCCTGACCTTTTTACATGGCTGACGCACAAACCAAGCAGGCCAAGAAACGGAGAAAAAAAAGTCAACGAGTATATTTAGGTGCCGCTTCAGGTATTAATTAGTGATTTATGAACATTTTTAGAAAATAATTTTAAATGTTTCGACGCAGCTCCGGCAGCTAAAATTGCATGGGGGCTTGAGATAAGCCCCTTGACCCCCCACAGTGACAGACTTCTCAAATTCAGGCGACTTGATTCTAAACCCAACCCCCGTTTTTCAATATTGACTAGTTTATTTTGTGAGAGGATATGCCCAATTTTCACAGGTCTAATGGTATATGATGCTGATGGATATGGATCAGGTTCTGAGCGACTTCAATGAATAAAAAAGGGGCCTTTACCGCTATCTACATATTTCTTTTTACTTGAAAGTTAGGGTGGACGAATACATTTTGGTAGGAGGCCGATGGGTGATCTTCGTGCCCTATTTTTTTCTTTGGGAAGCTGGGTAAGGGATCCGTGAGCTTACGTTTGGCAGGGCCAGAATCACCGTATAAATCCGATGGTTAAGCGTCTCCCCCGTCAACATCCATCATCGTCACAAAGATCTATATTAACTATCTAAACAAATAATACCACTCACCAACTAATAAACAGGACACACACCGACAACACAAATAAAATTGAGAAGGTTTACGCAAATTTGAATCAGAAAAGAATTAAAAAATTCTTTCAATACAATACCAAACACTGACTTGTGTTTTGTTTTGTTTCTCCGTTTCGTCAAAGGTGTTTGCGTTTAGGGTGAGTTGTTGTTAAAATTACTGATACATTTTTGTTTATAAATCTTAGTCTTTGCTCCGTTTTTATTAAATTTATCTTTTTTTTATAGGATAGGGTGACAAACGAGTACACAGTCCGCCTGATGGTAAGTGGTTGCTGTGGCCCATAGACATCGACATTTATCTTCGTTTGCGAATCAAAATGCAGATGCGTTATCACCCGTGAGGACTAAGATGGAATGCCTCTTTTCTAGTAAAAAGGGTCTCCGGTTCTCTACACTCACCATACGAAACACAGCAGCGTTAAGCTGCTATTTTACGCTGGTATTCTGTGAGAGCGTGGTCCTATAGCTGCTGCATGGCTCTACCACGTGAAATCTTAAATCTCGATGATGAAATAAATGGCAACACCGAAGCGAAGCCGAGGCGAGCCGCTAGCATTCAATAAAGGATGTGCGTTTGTTCGCTATTTTTATTTATTGAATCCCTAAAACAAAAGAATACAAACGGCGGACTTAATGCTTAATTCTCCGTAACTCCTTTAGCCACTCAAGCGTCCAGCCCGCGCGATTTTTATACCCTTGTACGTCCAGATACGCGCGGCCGATTCGGCTGCTACTGCGCTCGCATGTAGTAAGTAACAAAAAACCTACATAGCTACTTAACTATAATAGCTAGAAAGAAAAAAGCTACGAAAAATTTATAGAAGAATACACATTAAACCTATGTAGGTTTTAAGATCTAAAAAAATAATTTAAGATATGAAAAACTAGCTTTTTACCCGCGGCTTCGCTCGCGTGGTCTTCTTTTTTAGAAACATCGTTGAATGTATTTCACGCTAAATTTAGTAAAGTTCAATCACTTTTAGAGTCAAGTCGGTGTCTGTGTATCTATGTCAGTTTTTCAAACAATTTTTTGAATTCCCAAAGACTATTGTACCTAGATGATTGAGGGACACATGAAGAAATATATTTTTCAGAATTGCATTAATATCATATTATGTCTAGAAATATCTACAATTTTTTTTATATTGGACCTGTCTTCCGATGTATCTATCCAAAACAAAGATAAATAGTCTTGGAATCCAAATTTACTATTATTATTTACACTTTACATTCATTCATAATTTATTTTTATCAAAATAATGATGAATTCCTGGTCTTATATGTGATATTTGATTCATATCATTGTATTGATTAGCACCATACAATAATTTCTGATTTGTTTTCTACGTTCGAGTAGACTTCAACATTTCATAAATGCAGTTCTGATAATGATGAATACTACACGTATGATAAAACAAATTGTAATAAATTACGTTACATTTTAACTTCTATTTAAGCGGGTTGTACTTACAAAACACATCTTTGGAAGAAAGTTCCATAAAAATTTGCGTAAAGCAACGTATTGCTGATGTGAAGCACCGACGCCCCGAGAAGTCTGAAAGTGTGTCAACATGTTGAGTATCGTCCCAACCATTATATCAGATCTCATAGACAACAAATAAACCCCCGCCCTCCTCTCCATGGGTTCTGTATATTGCCCGAAACGTCATCAGTTATAAAAGTTAAAATTAAACACGCTAAAATCCTTATGATTACTTTTATTGCAAATGAAGTTCTATTCGCAGTGAACGTAGGTAGAACTACACTCATGATCGAAAGCAGAAAAATATTCGCCTTGTTGTGGCGGCGAAAGAGAATCCGCCACCTCATATCGTTCCGTGTGTGTCCTAAGAGGCGATAGAGCAAAACAAACAGGAGATGGGGAACATCATGTTCCTGACAACAGTTCAAAATAATAAATGCTGCGGATGCCAACCTGCCTGCCAAGCGTGGCAACTATAGCAAATATCCAGCCTATTTGACAAGTTATGGGGGAGACTTATGTTCAGTTCAGTGGACTTTTGATAGGTTGTAATGATAACGGTGATGAGTTCTATTCTTTCGAATCTTTGCTACCGTTAATATTTACGGTAGTGTGAAAACAAAAACGTAACATCTCCGAAAATATAAATGATATAAAAACAGCATAATTGCCCCATTAAAACTAAAAAAAATAGCGATCTACATACATGTCACTACGGGGCACAGGCCACAGAGCTTTTGGCTAATAAAGTGCCAACGCTGGATCACCTCAGCTGGGGAACTTCTCAGATATTCAGGTTTTCTTTCACCGCCGAGAACGTGGTAAATCGACATTTCAAATTGCATTTAACATATATGTAAAAATATATAATAATGCTTATGTACTATGAAATTTACCTTTGCCTTTGACAAGTAAAATAAAATATACCTTTGTAGTAAAATCTGCAATCTTCGATATTTAAAGTATTTTTTCGCAACAGCCTGTTCATTTCCATATCTAATGTGAGCTATGAAACCACTACTGTCACAAAAATCAATGATTTGTCTGATAATATGAAAACTCAAAAATACAAAAATCCAACAAACTGATTTATAAGTCTCATTAAAGGTATAAAAACTAAAGTAGCAGCTTACATACGTCTCACTACTGTGCACACGGCTCCCCATTATGTATAGTGTTTGTGAGCAGAAAAGAGTATGCCGCAATCCTTAAACTACTACTCCGACATTTAGGTTTGCCCACGAAGTTTTTCTTCACCACTTCACTGGGTACCTATGTAGTAAGTCAGTACGTAAAATTTCCCATAACAGATTCATTTGTCCTCAAAGGACTCGTACACGTTTTGCTCCCTTGCCGTGATGAAATCTCACGGCGGGCTACACGGCTCTCGTATTTGTTTAAGGCGCAGGTTGAGCAAAATGTCGCGCTAGTCGTTATTTGTGCTGTTTTTAGGAGCTATCTACTTTTTATTTAAAAGATATATCAACAAATAAAAAACACATTATATTTCTACATAATCTTGATTCCATAAAAGCTATATCCAATTTTTTTTTAAAGGAATAAATATTAATATAATCTCCTTACAACGAAACCACATAAATGTGAAATTATTATTGATAACATGCATCTCCTCGTAAAGTAAGTATTATTTTATTTTGCGATTTACACCAATGGATAGGCAATTTATTAATGAACATTTCTATAGTAAAGTTTTTTTCAAAAGACCAAAATTTGATTTTATTGAGAATTTATTTTAAAATCTGGGCATATTCACTGCTCACGGGCTTGCTGAAATCAGTGAGCCCTGAGCTCTTCGACGCGAAGCCCGTGTCGTTAGAGCGTCGACCAGCACATACACTCACGTCATATTAGTCGATAATAATATTACTTATTAGGTTATTTATAGGTAGTATTATTTGTTTGTTTTGGGTATAATTTATCGTATTAGTTATACATATATTTGTTGTGTTTTTTACTGCGCGATGAAGCTTTTTGCGTGTATTTTCTTTGAAGTAAATGCAAATAAAAAAATGAAGCACCATTAGCATGTAAGGTTCGAATCCATAATTAAAATTTCGACAAATATTATAATTTACACTATAAAAGGCTAATTCAATATTATCACCCAACCACAATATCTTATTAGGTATAGTACCGCCTCGTTGGTCAAGTGGTTGTAGTAGTGCGAGTGCTGATCATGAGGTCTCGGTTTCGAATCCCGGGTCTTGTCAAAAAGTCAGTTATGAGTTTTTGGCCCGTTTTTGTTTTTATTTATTGCTTGCTTTTCTTCTTTTTCAAAAAAAAAAATAATTGAGTACATAAGATGTTCTATACGCCGAATGTCAGAGAGAAAAGCTAGTACATCTTTTGCTAAACTTTAAAATCTAAAACCAATTTTAAAACAGAATAATTGATCATAACTCCCTTAGCTATAAAATAAGTTATGATCTAATTAATGGTATTTATTCCAGTTTATGGCAGCTCTGATTTATATTACGTGGCTGAAATTAGGTACATCTTATTAGGTACGTCAAACCAAATAACAGCCGGGCGGCTGACATTATGCACTCCATACATTTCTTATATTATCTAATTACAGTCCCATTAATTTCCACTAAAAGAAAATAAATAAGTTGTAAATTCAAACAAAAATAACTGCATTACTATGTCTATAGTCATATTCATACAAATCAAAAAGCCTATATATGAGATAATGTAAAGTAAGCATAATTTTACCGGGATCATAACTTGTCAAATAATTAGGAAAATGATCGTTTTTCGTTGCGTACCTGTTTTGATTTTAACACTGTTAGGTTTAAAACTGCGAGGTAATATTTGAATAA